CATTCACATAATGAAACATTGGAGCCATTAAAATAATGAGTTAGAACTGGATGTGATAATACAGATAAATAACCAAGTTAAAAAGAACCAACATACAAAACTGTACATCTGAATTAAGGGGGGAATGAGAGGCATATATATGTATACATCAGGATTAAATAACATTTCTGAAAGACTATACAAGATAAAATATTCCTCAGGGGTATGGGAATAAGATCACAGAAAGGAGACACTTTACTTCATACATTTTGTATATTGCATGATTTTTAAAAATTGTAAGCATGTATTACTTTAATATTATTTAAAAAAAACTTAAAAGTATTTAAAAAGCCTGACTGTACCCATGGTCTTCTATGAAACAGTTTACAGTCCTTTGCTGCCTTTTACTTAATGACATTTAGTGAAAATTAGAAGGTGTCTGCATCCTCTGTCCCTCAAGATTGAGGGGGAATTTTGAGAATTTAGTTTAAATATTGCTTAAACTACAACTTGGGTAACATCTACTCAAAATTCCAAAGAACCAATTAAAAAAACAAACAACAAAAAACACCAATGGGCACTTAAATTCCAACTGAAGTATTTTACCAAACATCACTTTTCCTTTATGTGAAATCCTGAGTAACATCCTTTTGTCATTCAACTCCAAGGTTCTGTGAGTTGGACAAGCAGATTTCAAAAATTTATTTAAAGATATGTTAAATTCTTATCCATTGACATAAAATAAGCAGAATGCACAGAGGTTACCAGATTTAAAAGAAAATGTATTGTTGGAAAAATCCTTCACTGAAAAATATCGTAAATTCAACTACTTCAGGACTGGCCCCCAAATCAGAAGAGGAAGCATAAGAGCCCTTTTATGTCAAGTTGGATTTGCAATTGAATGGCCTTAAAATTCATTTGAATGTTTGAGGGTAAGAACCCTGGGAGTGGTAGGCTAGTGGCCCACTTAAGAGCACATCTTCCCTTAAAACTATTCAAATTCCAAGTTTTTAAAATACTGTTGAACAAAACTCAAATGTAGACAGAATTCAGAGTATATGCCATGAATGTACAACCCCTGCAGCACTATAACTGAACTTTTAAAAACCAAGGTTTCACAATACTTATTTTCAGATTAAATGCCTCAGACCCAGTTTGCTTCTAGAAATGAATTAGTGTTCAAATCTTGCTGAACAATACAAGACTCTTCCAATACTGGATACAATCAGCAAATAACCAATAAATTTAATGAGTGTGTTGTCAAATTATATGTCAGTGTGTGCTAGTGCTGGATTGCAAAAGCTTAGGAGAGTTGCTAGTATTATATATTACCTCTTTCTAACTCCAAGTTTAATACCAGACTGGCAGGTGAAATCAGCCATGGTGACAATATTTATACCACGAGTATCAATCAGTAACACTACAACACAGGGCATTTTTCCACCAGAAGCAGTTGCTAAATATTCACCAGTAAAACATTCAATTACATATTGGCCATATATTTGCTTGTCCAAATACATTACATAAAAATTTTATTGACATTATGACATTTTAAAAGATGCAAAGAAGATTTTAACTAATGAGGATGCAACAGGCTAACTTAATACAAATGTGAGGAACATATCTTACAAATTTAAAAGCTGGGGAACAAACTATCAATAAAGTTGTTTCACAAATTGTGATACTTTAAAGATCTCTTTAAAACATGTTCCACTAATTACCCTATTAATTTACTTGTAAAGTTTAAATAAGCCCTTAAAGAATAAACTGTACTGATTTTATCAACTTATAAATGGAACCCAAATTAAACTAAGTTTTATTAGATATGTAGGATATGCAAACCCTCAGGATTGGGAAATATTTTTTAAAATCTTACACATAAGCATGATAGCACTTTTAAAAATATATTCTTACTTCAGAGAGGGAGGGAGACAGACAGAAATATCAATGAGAGAGAATCATTGATCGGCTGCCTCCTGCATGCTCCCTACTGGGAATTGAGCCTACAACTGGACATGTGCCCTGACTGGGATTCAAACAGGAGTGAACTCCTGCCCTAAATAGTTTGGCTCAGTGGATAGAGCATCATCCTGCACACTCGAGTGTCCTAGATTCTATTCCTATCAAGGGCATGTACCTTGCTTGTGGGCACATACCCAGTAGAGTATGCAGGAAGCAGCTGATCAATGTTTCTCTCTCATTGATGTTTCTAGCTCTCTATCCCTCTCCCTTCCTCTCTGTAAAAAATCAATATATATTTTTTAAAAAATTAAAAAAAAAAAAGTAGTTAACTCCTGATGCTCAATCATTGAACATACCGGCTGGGCTTAACATTTGCAACTTCAATAGGAATTTTCATTTTTCCCACCAACTAAGTAAAAAAAGACCAAAAAACCCCCCAAAACAACCCATAGAAGTTCAGAGGGTGCTATGCTTTCAATGACATCCTGTTGTCCCAAAAATATACATTTCAAGTGTAGTGCAGTGGTTTTCAAAGACTGGTCTGAGGACCCTTGAGGGTACCCAAAACACAAGATCCAAACGATTTTCATAACAGTACCAAAATGTTGTCTCTGCTTCACCCATGATCTTGCAGTTCACAGAGGAGTTTCCAGCATCCATATGCCACGTGATAGAAAAAGAATCACAATGAGACTCCGCTGTCTCTCTCAGTCCAGATATTTAAAAGATGAGCAAAACAGAATGTTCCCATTAACTGTTTTTGGATAACACTTATTTTTATGGTATTTATGTTAACATGTAATGGATTATTGTTATATTTAAATAAACATAGTTCTTAAATGACTTAGTATTAATTTCTAATACAGTAAATTCTGACCAACACGTTATATAAACAAAAGATCTTTGGGGGTTATGGTCTTGAGACCCAGTTTCTCAAAACTGTTTGGAAATGGTAAAAAAGCATCCATTTTACTAATTTCTAGGAACTGTATGCAGCAAAGACAATGTGCACTGGGGGAAGGGTCAACTCACAAGTAAACCACTGATATGTTCCTTCAAATTTAGAGAAATTATTTGAACAAATAAAGTAATTATCTCTATTTTGCACAAAAATGAAAATACAGCATGCCTTTAAACGTAACCAAGTTCGCCACCCTAAAATAAAATAAAATTTTCTTTCCTGAGTAAAGATAGGAGATGATGATCTGATTCAACCAGGAAGCCAGAAAACTAGATGATTTTCAGCCTTGTCACCTCAAGAGTTTTCTCCTCTTCAGTTCTCTGTGTTCCCTCCATGAAAAAATGGCTGGAGGGAGACCCCACAAATGTAGAGACAATTCTGGTGGTCTATCGAAACCAGATGCAAACCTGAATAGGAAAGTCTAAATGAAGTTGACTTAAATCTACTATAAATCTGGACCACTTCTTAAACTAAGTATTTAATTTTATAAGCATTCATTTCAAGTCAATGAAAGTTCCAATTTAATTACAAAATTCAGAATTTACTCAGAAGAAATAGTCTTTAAAATTATTTTCATAATAACTGTTTAATTTACTTATTTCTTAGATGGAAAGCTGGAAGGTTATTTGGGAAATGCCTACAATTATATATTATAACTTTGTACATGTGGATTGATGGGGACCCAATACAATCTAAAACAGAGACATTCAAAGACATTTCTTTAGTGTTCACTCCATGAAAAGGTGGAGGAAGCCCCCACAAATGTAGAGACATTTCAAGTATACACCAACACACACCACAACCGTTGCAGCATTCATTTAATTCTAAAAGAAGAGGCATACTGCTCAGAAAAGGGGCAGAGATCTCCCAGTCTTCTTATCAAATGGGTCAGGTAAACCACACATTCAGCTAGATATGCAACAAACAGCAATGTTTTAACAAGTCTAAAACACTACACAAGTTGAGTATAGTAGGATAACTCATGTAGCCACCACTGAAAAAGGTATTCAACATGAATAAAATGTTTGAGGGAACAGATGTTCACCTCTTTTAATACCAAAGCTTTTAAAAAAAATGTCTAATCATAAGATAAAACTTTATAAACACGTTACCCATTTGTATATGTAATTTCAGCTTTTCTTGATGACAGAGTGTCAGCGAAATAGACAATTATTAGAAGATGATGTGATTTAGTGATCTAGGCTGGGCTGGCTGCCCCTACACTAAAAAGTCTTCAAGAGTATTCTCTTCATAGTTTTTTTCTATCTCCTTAGTTCTGAGCAACAGCTCTGAACTGCTAATTTGTTACGGGCTGGGAAACCAAATTATCAGTAAAGACTCCATTACAAGTAGGTTGCTCAAAGGCACTAAAATAAAAGTTGATTCCAAGTTTCCCAGTTGTGTTGTTTTCATGAGACTGCCAGATTATCTCTGGATGAATGAGGCATTGCTGCACATAAATATTTAAACAAGTTCATTTGAATATTAACAAAAAGCTATAACTAAACATTAGTATCATTGCCCTTTTAAACAAAGTATTCTATAACTTCAAGGTAATACTGGGTTCCAGTTTCTTTATCCCCCCCAGAGATGAACATAAACAAATGTCCTATTAATAATATCAGTTTGTCTAAACAGAAAACCAATCTGAGGTGCAATCATGTCACAGTTAATGCATGTCTGCTTCCAATACATTCAAAGACAGTATTTTTAAAATCAATATTTAAAATAGGCCTTTTGAAGTCTAAGAATTCAAGATACTTTAAAAAATTTGTAAATACACATACATGCAAATTCCTCATATTTACAAATTTCACAAAATTAAGAAGTTGCAAAGAAATTAGAAGGATTATGGTGAATCTGACAAGCTACATGTAAATGCTTTACCACTGACATATTCCTGAATATAGCAGTCATAGTAGTTTTAGTACATTTTCTACATGGCCTTTTTATAAAATTTTCTCTTTTAGACATAAAAGCTAGTCACTAGAAGTCTTCTGAAATCCTAATTTAAGAATTCAAGATGTTCTCAATTCACTACTCACATTTAAGGCCACTTTGGTAAAGGCATTGCAGCAAGAACACAAAAACAATAGCATATTTTCTAATATTTATTTTTTTCACCTGCAAACTGTAGCAAAACATGATCAGCTTTATTATGCAGACAGGTATCCTTCTACATTTTTAAAGAATTTAGGCATGTATAAATAGAAGAGCTCTTTAGGAGGGAAAAATTCAAGACTGAATAAAACCTTCCAATTATGACTTTGTAACTTTCCAGTAGCAATGGTTAAAATGATTTCAGGTCATTCATTCCGAGGTACATGACAGCACCTTAAAAGTGGCTGATCTATTTCCCCAGTAACATTTTCCACATAACAATGTGTTAAAAGTTACAAATACTGATATGCACAAATAGCTAAATTCTAAGAAAAATATGTACAGTACTGCAGCATAATGAATGTGGTATCTGCAATAACTTAATATTAGCCAATTTTTAATATACATGATACCGCTACCTTTTTCTGCCAATTCACAGGTTAAAAGTTGTTACTGGAGCCCTCTGTTTTGCACATATTACCTGGTGTTTAATACACAATGCAGGCTTTTTAAAGACTTCTCTTGTGTTTAAAGCTAAGATCAGTGAAACAAGACAACAGTGCAAGAGGCGGAAAGATGTAATGTGACCATGTAAAAGTTCTTTCCAGTAAAATGTCTATATAAGGCTATAAGAAAGGATTGGTTGATGAGCTTCCTGTTGGAAATTGTCCTGTCGGTGCACCAGTCTAAAGGAAACATAAAACAAAATAAATAAACAGACAAAAGTGGTATGAGATGAAAATATTAAAGAGTATTTAGATTAGGTTTAATTATTGGCAATCACATTTATTACTCTTAGCAATATACTATAATAAAATGATTAGGTATTAGGCACTGTGTTGTGCCTTTTATATATAATTATTTCATGTAATTCTCAAAATGGACTTGACTCTAAAAAAATGCATTTATGATTCAAACTAAATCTGACTCCAAGACCCCTTTCCACAATGTTTACTATGTCTACAGCTGCTCATAAAGTGTTCCTTTTGCAAGAAAGCAGACAAATTTCATGTTATAAAATAGCTTATTTACTGTCAATTCTTTTATTTCAACTGATGAATGTTTTTTGAGTCACAAAGGTATCTTGCATAGTGGCTCCCTCAATGTGTACACTCTTGCAATGTCTTATCAATACAGTAGCAAACAGCATCCAAGAGGAGACACATCCTGCTTTTCCTAATTTGAAAATAATACGCAACAACTTACAAAGTGCTTAAAATTGCACCTCACTTACCATAAAAGGATTACTAGATACTCCAGCAGCTGCAACTTGACCAAAAGGGGTTACCATTGGCTTTGTTTGTCCAAATGCTGCAAAACCTGCACCTTGTAAAAACGGAACCACCAATTATAACCCATTCCATCTTTGAGAGATAATCTGATGTTTATAAAGCCAATGTGTTTCAGAGAAACTCCTACCAGAGCAACAATAAAATATCAATGTTAAATTGTTAGGTCTTATGCTCTTTCAAAACCAGAAATAAACTTTCTGTGGCATATCTTTTTTTTTTTTTTTTTAACATGTTTATTTTACAGAGAGGAAGGGGAGAGATAGAGAGCTAGAAACCTCAATGAGAGAGAAACATTGACCAGCTGCCTCCTGCACACCCCCTACCGGGATGTGCCCGCAACCAATGTGCATGCCCTTGAACAGAATCGAACCTGGGACCTTTCAGTCCGCAGACCGATGCTCTACCACTGAGCCAAACCGGTTTCAGCATCTGTGGCATATCTTAAAGAGCTTTTATATAGTCCCCAGAAATAGTTAATTCCAATTTGTCTCAGGTACCTAACCTACTGACATTCAAAGGATTTAATAAATAGATGAGCACTGATGGTGACTATTTGAGAGGGGCTGTAAGACCACACAGCAGTTTCTAAGTAAACATCATAGTATTCCTTAGGAACATTTCATCATTAAGGCTGTCACAGACCCTATTTCCAAATTTTTAGTTAAGCACAACTTTAGAAAAGAATATCAATAATTTTAGGATAATCTTCAAATCTATGGAATTCAAACTTTAGCCATAAACAAAATCGAGTAGGGATGAGCAGGGGGGCAAAGGGGGGACGACCACACAAACCAGTCTCTATTGAATTTTCCTGAAAACAAGTAAATATTTCTAACCATAATATATACTGTTGCCTATTTATTACTCTACGTCACCACCACCCACCAAAAAAACCTTAAACAAAATAGCACAATTTTCTGATGCAAAACAAAAACACTCAGAGATCAACCAAAGGACTTGTATGCTTGCATATAAACATAAGCAATGGACACAGACTGGGGGTGGCCAGGGAGAGGTCAATTGGGGGTTGGGGGGAAGGAGACTTTGTAATACATTAAACAATAAAGAATTTAAAAACAAAAACACTCCAACCCAGCTGGCATGGCTCAGTTATTGAGCATCGACCTATGAACCAGGAAATTATGGTTCAATTCCTGGTGAGGGCACAAGCCTGGGTTGCAGGCTTGATCCCCAGTGTGGGGGTGCAGGAGGCAGCCAATCAATGATCCTCTCTCATCACTAATGTTTCTCTCTCTCTCTTCCGCTCCCGTCCTCTCTGAAATTAAAAAAATATATATATTAAAACAACAACAAAAAACAAAAAATACTCTAGCTCTAGACAGTTTGGCTCAGTGGATAGAGAATTGGCCTGTGGACTGAAGGGTCCCAGGTTCGATTCCAGCCAAGAGCACATGCCCAGATTGTGGGCTCCATCCCCAGTTAGGAGAGTGCAGGAGCAGCTGATCAATGATTCCCTCTCATCATTGATGTTTTTATCCCTTTCTCCCTCTCCCTTCTTCTCTGAAATCAATAAAAATATATTTAAAACAAACAAAAAAAAAATACTCTATGTCCTTAAAGTTTCTTTTTAAAATCAAGAGATGTACTAGAACACAGATAAATGAATGAGAAAGACACTGGGGACTCTTTAGAGTCTCTGATTTCTCCTGCATTGATAATCTAGTCACAAAAACTTACCAACTTAGTCATTTTTCTGAGGCCCAAATACCCATTCAAGTAGACCACAATACAACGTTCTTCAATTAAGTTCTTTTGTCCAAACACATAACATTATGACATGCTAGAGTAGGGGTGTCAAACCAATCAGAGAAGGGGCCAAAATCTAAAATCCAGCCTAAATCGCAGGCCGAATGGTTTACTGAACAGTCATAAACTGTCATTGTGATGGAAACGCAGCGGAGTGCAGTGATGACAGCGCTGTGCGGGCCACATTGCAAGGCCCGGCGGGACGGATTTGGCCCACGGGCCTTGTGTTTGACACATGTGTGCTAGAGGCTCGGTACATGAATTCATGCACCAGTGGGGTCCCTCGGCCTGGCCTGCGGGACTGGGCCGAAAACAGTTCTCCGACATCCCCCAAGGGGTCCTGGATTGTGAGATGGCACAGGCCATGCCAAGGAACCCCACCAGTGCACCATTGGGGTTAGGGAGGGATGTGAGAAGGCTCAAAGGCATGTCTAGCCCATCTCACTCAGTCCCCATTAGCCGGACCCCAGCAGTAAGCTAACCTACCAGTCGGAACGTCTGCCCCCTGGTGGTCAGTGCATGTCATAGTGAGCAGTTGAGCAGCCTTAGCATATCATTAGCATATTACACTTTGATTGATTTATTGGATGACCAAACACTTAGCATATTAGGCTTTTATTATATAGAACAAGAGACCTACAGGGACTTACAAGTAAATGTCAGATCTTACCATTGGGCTGTTGAGAAAAAGCTGTCTGTTGAGGGAAAGCTGCTTGGGCTGGGAAGGCAGGCTGCTGGAAGCTGCCACTGAAGCTGGTGGGAAGACTATAGGGCGCAGGCGTCCCGAAGCCCGCAGGCATGCTCATGGAGGCGGTGCCAAAGGTCGCCGCTGACAGGAGAAGAAAAGGGCTGATCACTTACATTTAAAAGAGCACATTTTGTTTTCTCATATTCAACATTACAGCAGAGATATCATTTACCTTGAAAAATATTAAGATGTACATTAAAGGCATTCTAAATTTCAAAACAAAGTCAGTTAAGTTTGAGCACTATACAGTATAACAACTTATAAAATTTTATTTTCCTAAAACTCAATAACCAGAATAAAACTAATGAAGAAAAATTTCTCAAAGTATATTAATAAAATTCAACTTTAGTCAGCAATCTACTTTTTAAAGCCCATCATCCTGGCAATTCACATGGATACATATTAACATTTTTCATTTTGTTTTGCTATATATAGTAAAATAGCTAAGTATTTAATTGTATCTAATGAATTGTGTTCTATAACATAATATGTGAATTCCTGGAAAAAATTTTAGAACCTGTTTAAAGTAGCTCACCAAAAATAATAAAACTTATAGGAGTTAGATGAAAGCCACATAAAACCTACGCAATTTTGTAACCAGAGCCAAATGGGGAAGGGAAATCTTAATAAAAACTAGAACACAATTAAAACGACATGTTATACTCTTAATAAATCACTTCCAAGAGAAATATATGGACTCCCACAATCCTTTTATGGATGGTAAATAAAGGCTGCTCTGGATAAAGGGTTAAGGAAGGTTAGGACTGCTGAGTTATAAAAATTAGGGCAAAATGCACAAAGATGGGAAAGGACTTGAACTAAGTATTATTAGAAGAGACAAAGCACACAGTATAAATGAACACTGTGTCCAAAACTGTGCTTCTCCATGGCTTGCCACGTCTGGCCATTATTAACTCTGTGGAACAGAGCAGTCACAGGTTGGGGAAATCTGTGTGAACTACCATTACATATGTGGTATGCTGCCATCATTCCCCATTGAAGAATTATTCAGGAAATAATTTGCGTTATAGAAACACAGGTGGTAGCAGTACAGTATATCACTATTGTTAGAGAGGATTATGTGTACTAGGAAGGCCTCAGTGAAATAAGAGCCAAAAATGTTGTTTTTAATACAGAATAGTAGTAATTATACAGTGAAATAGTTTTAAGTATGTTATCAAAAAAGATAACTCAAACTTAATTTCCTGATTTAAAAATTTTACTCAAATGCTTATTTTAAGCACAGAAATATTAAAATGTTACAAAAAATAAAAACTAAAAAAATGTTACAGATGTTGCCAAAGTAATACTCATAATCCTACTGTTTATAACGACCCTTAATGAAACTAATTAAAATGTAAAAAAAATTTAAATTACTTTCTCATTATTAAGGAGAAAAAGAAGGGAAGAGCCATTGGGGAGCAAGTGAATAAGTGATAAGCACACTGGGAGGAAACAGGAGGGTTTCATAACAGACAATGCACTGACATAACTTCGACAAGTCACTTTTCAAAAAGCACTAAAAAGCAGAACTTGGGCACAGTTAAACAAAACCATACTCCATGGAATAATGTGGTAAAATGGTTTGGTATATCAAAAAGGTGTCACTCAAACTACTATAAATTCAAACTCAAGAAAAACAATTGAAAAAGCTATGACATTCTAATATGACCATGGAGGTAAGCAATAATACTTTTCAGCATTAAAACATAAATCACTACAGATTTCTATATAATTTAAAATATAATGCAATCCCAATGCCACACATTCATGCCCACTCCATTTTAAAACATGAAGAACTTAATTCCACATGCAGGGATTCAGAACACTAGCAGAAGCTTCCACAAGCAGGCAGACAAACTGCCACAGAAATCTAGACATTCGTGGTGGCCACCTACCAAAATGAGCGTGAGGAAACACTTGAGAATGCATTGCTCCAGAAAGGCCTTATGGAGAGCCATAAAGAGACCAATGTCATTAACTTAATGGTAACTATTGTTAAAATAAAAGTAAATGTATTTCATTCAAAGTTCTAAAATTAGAATGTACTCTTACAAAGTGGGTAGCAAAATACATGATAAAACACATCCAATTTTTTGAACTATATTCATGACACTATAATATTTACACAGTTTGCAATAAAAGGGATATTAGATCATATCAAATGAAGAAACCTTTATGAAATACATCATTTTAAATAAACACTTTTTTTTAATGTGAAGATATAATTATATCCATAAAGACTTGTAGGCCTCATGAGTCATACCCAGAAATGCTATTTACAGGATCATCTAAAATGAACTAGCTTCTGCAGTCAAACCTTGGAGAGAGCACCTGGATAATATTTGATTTTTATTTACAACTTTTTATATGAACTAGAAATACACAAAGGTAACTCAAGTAAGCTGAGTACTACAAGGGGAAAATTATTCGCTATAGTTCATTAAAATATAATAGCTGAAAAGACAAAATAAAAAAAAGCATCTTGTGTTTTCCCACCTGGCATGACTGAGATCAGAGAGGCTACATATAAATAAACCTAATTAATAAAAAACAAATTTAAGTTATGTAATAAAACCTTTTTGTGTTCGTTTTAACCATCTGGGGTAGAATTATTTCTAAAGAATATGTCCATTCACTTTAAATTAGCATACTTAATTAAAATTTGGGGAAGCAGCAATTGAGAAAATACTCAAAACATTATACCCAAATTAAATCAGGTTCCCACAATTTTTAAAATGTTAACATTCTATACTCTGGTTTCTCTTCAGATCGTGTAAATCTTTCACATTTTACTAAAATGTTAACATCCTAAGAGAGATATGTGCTAGAAAAAGACCTGATCTTAAGACCTCATGTAATAAAGCCCATTTGGCCCTTGCAATCTCATGTCAAGAGTCAGAAACAAGGCAAAAAACCTTCTTACACGTTTCTACTATGATTGAATGAGTTATATCTATAATTTTGAAAGCAGACCACCACAGTAAGTCAGAATTACTGTGTACAAGTCCCATCTCTACATAAATTGGCTGTGTGGTTCAAGGAAGTCTCATCTCCATACCTGGGCTTCCTCCCTGAATATGAAAACTGTGACTGAGCGAGGTAGGCACTAGTTAACTCCTAAGGTCCTTCTCAAATGTGCATTAAGTTCCAGAATTTTATAAACTCTCAGCAAGTATTTGTTTTTAGGAACAAACTCTCCTATCCACTATCCACTAATTTCAGTAAGAAAGAATCCTTATTTTTCTAGTTTGCTCACATGGTTTCTTTGCAATAAATCCCTTTTCCAAAATTTGCTGTTCCATAATTTATATTTCTTACCTGTTGTTCCTCTGGCATTGGTCTGAAATGGATTTGTAGAAGATGCCACAGAAGGACCAGCAGCAGCCACAAATGGATTTGTGGAAGGCGTAGCTTTAAAAAAAAAAAATTATAAAATAGACTATAAAATCATAATACATTTATATTAAAATATATAAAAATGTATTTGTTAATATATTTCTGAAGATAGAAAACTAAAGCTTTCTAATAATAAACTGTTGCTCTGGCATCTGGTTCTCCTGAAGTTGCTATACAATATACACTTGGCCTCTATACAGTGTCCACATTATTCCTTCCCCCTTATCTATGACTCCCCCTTTCTGTGGCTTCAGTTATCAACAGTTAATGACAGCCCAAAAATATTAAGTGGAAAATTCCAGAAATAAACAATTGATAAGTTCTAAATTATGCACTAATCTGAATAAGGTGATGAAATCTCTCTCCACCCTGCTCAACTTTTACTTATTAATGGCCTAAAGTGCAAAGAGTAGTGACGCTGGCAATTCATATATGCCAAAGAGAAGCTGTAAAATGCTTCCTTTAAGTGAAAAGGTGATTAAGTTCTCGAAAATAAGAAAACAAAACAAAACAAAATTTGTATGGTGAATAGACAAATTTTATGAATTCAACTTTTTTTCATCATAGGTATGTATGTACAGGAAAAACATAGTAAATATGGAGGTTGGTACTATCTACTGTTTCAGACATCCACTGGGTGTCTTAGAATGCATCTTCCACACATAAGGGGGGACGACTACCGGAAACACCTACCTCCAAATGGAGCAGGCACACTTGAAGAAGCAGGCTGTGTCTGTGCAGAAGCACCCACTGGCATTGTTCCAAAAACATTGCTGAAAACAAATATTAAAAGAGTTCTAATTTTTAAAAAGAGCAAGGATATTCTATCTATAGGATGGCCATAAATATGTGAAAACTGGTCATTATAAACATACAATGTATGACAGAAGTTCTCAAACTTTAGGTCTCAGAGCTAATATATATTCTGAAAAATTACTGAGAACCCTAAAGAGCCTTTGCTTCAGTGTGCTCTGTTTACCAATATGCATATAGTACAAAAATTAAAACATATTTAAAATATTTTTTCATTTAAAAATAACAAGCCGCTGAAACCGGTTTGGCTCAGTGGATAGAGCGTTGGCCTGCGAACTGAAGGGTCCGGGTTCGATTCTGGTCGGGGGCATGTACATTGGTTGCAGACACATCCCCAGTGGGGGGTGTGCAAGAGGCAGCTGGTCGATGTTTCTCTCTCATCGATGTTTCTAACTTTCTATCTCTCTCTCTTCCTCTCTGTAAAATTATCAATAAAATATAAAAAAATAAATAAAAAATAAAATAAAAATAACAAGCCATTACTATATGCTAACAAATAAATAGCACTTTATGACAAGTATTAGAAGCCCGATGTATGAAATTCGTGCAACCCCGGCTGCTTCATGGCCCCACCCCCATCCACTGGTCGTTCTCGAAGATCATTCCAGAAGGTCTTTCCGCCATCCAGTCTAATTAGCATATTAGCTCTATATTATATAGGGTATTTTCTAAAACAAAAAAAAGGAAATGAGAACAGTAGCAATGTTTGATATTTTTGCAAATCCCTTTAATGGCTGGTTTAACAGATCAATCAGACATGTTGTTTAGGCTGAAGTATATATGAATAAACAAAAACAAAAACACCACAAAACTGTCCTCACATAGATACATAGTTGAACAAAGGAGTATTTTAATAGTTTTTTTCAGATAATCTTATATAATAAAAGGCTAATATGCAAATCAACCAAATGACCAAACGACCAGTAGCTATGATGTGCACTGACCACTAGGGGACAGAGGTTCAAAGCAGGAGCTGCCCCCTGGTGGTCAGTGGGCTCCCACAGGGGGAGCATTGCTCAGCTAGAAGCCGGGCTCACAGTTGGCAAACACAGCAGTGGTGGCAGGAACCTCTCCTGCCTCCACTGCAGGCTGACGGTAAGGAGCGAGCAGTCTAGACTGCAAGAGGGATGTCTGACTACTGGCAGGCAGACATCCCCCAAGGGGTCCCGAACTGCAAGAGGGTGAAGGCCAGGTTGAGGAATACCCCCATCACCTGCCCAAGAGTTTTGTGCACCAGGCCTCTAGTTTTGGATATTTTCTTTGTTATCATACCAAAAACAGCAACAATTCCTAAAAGTTTGTTTCAATATGGAATTTGAAACCTTATCAGTGAACTGTTTTTTGCTGGATTCATTAGTCTATCTTGTGCTTTAAATGAAATTTTTACTGACATTCTATCATCTAGAAAATACTTGATGCCAATCTTCCAAATGTCAACACATTTCCTTATGCAAAATTTCAAGAAAAAAACACATCACATTCATAAATATCACTACTCACTCATCAGAAAGGTAATAGGAAGCTGTCACACTTATGGTAAAGTAATTTTCCAAAATTCTAATATTTGATTTAATGTGTGATTATCAGTTATTTTCATTAAATGACAGGCTTAAATACTCTATTTTTTAGATAATATTGCCAAATATCCAAATCTGAATAACCTTGGTTTGCCTATCAGTCATCTTCCAAGGAAAAACAGTGTTTCAGAAAACAAGAGGCTGGTTCATCCCACAATAACCAAACTAGACAATCATCATCTACACCAGGCGTCTTTAAACTGTGGCCCTCGGGCCACATGCGGCCCGCAGAGGAGTCTGATCTGGCCCGCCAGGTTTTTTGAGCAGTGAGTGCAGCCGAGGTGTTATAGTAGGAATTAGTAGTTCATATAGTCCGGCCCTCCAGCTCTCTGAGGGACCGTGATCTGGCCCCCACTTTAAAAAGTTTGAGGACCCCTGATTTACACTAATAAAATAGAAACATGCAAATTAACCATCACTTCGCCATGTCCACAAGCTGCAAATTAACCCAACATGGTGGCCAGACATGGAGCTGGAGCAAGCAGAAGGCTTGGGTTGCCCTGGCAAATGGAGGAAGCCAATCTTCCCATCTGCCCTGGCCTCCATTCAAGGCTACAAGGTTTCAACTATAGAAGATAAATGAATCCCAACAAAAATGGCAGCAGCCATGGAGCTGGAGCAAGCAGGAAACTTGGGTTGCCCTGGCAATGGAGGAAGCCAAACTACCCGTCTGCCCTGGCTGGCCCTGGCCTCCAATCAAGGCTACAAAGTTTTAATCAAAGATGATGAATAAATCCCAATAAAAATGGAGGTGGCCATGGAGCTGGAGCAAGCAAGAGGCCTGGGTTATCCCCAGTGATGAAGGAAGCCAAGCTTCCCACCTGTCCTGGCCAGCCATGGCCTCTGCTCAAGGCTAGAAAGTTTCCATTATAGAAGATAAATAAATCCTAGATACTTGAGTCCAGCTGGCCCTGGCCTCCACTCAAGGAGACGCTGAAAAGGAAAAAAGAAGGGGCTGGGACCTTGGGTCGTCGGGGGTGATTAGGCCAGGATGGGACAGCAGGGGCCATTGGGGGTAAGTAGACCAGCAGAGGAGCCAGTTGGGGGTGAGCAGGCCATCAGTGTGGGTCAGCTAGAGGTGATCAGGACAGAGAGGGGGCATTTTGGAGTGAGCAGGCCAGTGGGGAGGGCGAGTAGGCCAGCAGTGGGGGCAGCTGGGGGTGAGCAGGCTGGCACGGGGGGGCAGTTGGGGGTGATCAGGCTGGCGGGGGTGGGGGGTGACATTTGAGGGCAAGCAGGCTGGTGGCAAGCAGGCCGACAGGCAGAGTGGTTAGGGGCAATCAGGCAGGCAGGTGAGCGGCTGAAGCCAACAGTCCCAGATTGTGAGAGGGATGTCTGACTGCCAGTTTAGGCCCAATCCCTGTAAACCGGTAGTAGGACATCCTTCAAGGGGTCCCAGATTGAAGAGGGTTCAGGCTGGTCTGAGGAACACTCCCCCGACACCGTGCAAGAATTTTGTGCACCAAACCACTAGTACCTCAATAAGCAGCAGACCTATCTGATGCATACTTTACTTCCACACAGAAAATAGACATGTTTAAGGATCAAGATTTAATAAAATTAATTTCTTGACTGTTTCATCAAGAATGTTCATAAACCCTGGCTGGTGGCTCTGCTGGCTGGAGCACCACCACCCCTACACCTTTTACGAGTTTGATTCCCAGCAGGGGCACATGTGGGAGACAACTAATTGATATTTCCATCACACATGATGGTTCTCTCACTCTCTTCCTCCTAAAATGAAAAATAAAAAGATGTCCTCAGTTGAGGATTAAAATAATTAGAAAAATAGGCCTGACCGGTTTGGCTCAGCGGACAGAGCACCGGTCTGTTGACTGAAGGGTCCCAGGTTCAATTCCGGTCAAGGGCATGTATCTAAGTTGTGGGCAAATCCCCAGAAGGGGCTGTGCAGGAGGTAGCTAATCAAAGTTTCTCTCTCATCGATGTTTCTAACTCTCTATCGCTCTCCCTTCCTCTCTGTAAAAAAAAAAAAAAAAAAAAAAAAAAAAAAAAAAAAATCAATAAAAAAAAGAAAATAATAATAATTAGAAAAACAGAGATGAATAAAACAATGCATGTGTAAGTCACCTGTATTTCTGTATAACTTAACTCTAAAATCAAGAAGTCAAAACTGCTTCTTGATTGGAGCTTTTAAAGATCTAATGTTAAAATGTGTCAGACTTCCTGCTACAAAAAAATTCCTTTCCACCAGATATATTTGAACAGTTACAGATATGTCTATTGATAAATACCAATATGACACTGAAGAGATATAAAATTAGTGCTCTGTTCTGGTGCAAACATTTCTAAAAATGTATATTTATAACCAAGGATATAAAATGTTACTTTCAATGTTTAGTCTTCATGACTAAAAACTGTACCTTAAAAGTATATAATTTCCTAAATGAATTCTCTACTGAATATAATTAAATCTGTATATATCTGTCCATTTTTGAGATATGTACATACGCTTAGTTACATTTTGGTGTTCAAGAAAATGATAAAACTTTTGATTAAAAAAAAAAAAAGAATTAGGCAGTTAATCAAGGATTATATTTTAAAGAGAGGCCTAGTGCACGAAATTCGTCACGGGGGCTAAGGGGTGTCCCTCAGCCCACCCTCTCCAATCTGGGACCCCTCAAGGAATGTCTGACTGCCCATTTAGGCCCGATCCCTGTGGGATGTCATACATTCTTCTCACAATCCAGGACTGCTGGCTCCCAACTGCTAGCCTGCCTGCCTTCCTGATTGCCACTAACCACTTCTGCCTGCCAGCCTGATTAATATCTAACTGCTCCCCTGCCAGCCTATTTGCCCCCAACTTTCCTTCTCTGCCAGCCTGGTCACCCCTAACTACCTTTCCTTAAAGACTTGATCACCCCAAACTTTCCTCCCTTACAGGTCTGGTGCTTCCCAACTGTACTCTCCTGCTGGCCATCTTGTGGTGCCCATCTTGTGTCCACATAGTGGCAGGATCTTTGACCACATGGGGGCAGCCATATTGTGTGTTGGATGGTCAATTTGCATATTACTCTTTTATCAGATAGGATAGTGGCCTGGTGCATGGGTGGGGGCCAGCTGGTTTGCCCTGAAGGGTGTCCTGGATCAGGGTGGGGGTTCCCTTGGGGCATGGGGTGGCCTGAGCAAAGCGCCTGTGGTGGTTTGCAGGCCAGTCATCCCCCCAGCAACCCAAGCAGAGGCCCTGGTTATCTAGAATTTATTTACCTTCCACAATTGAAACTTTGCAGCCTGGAGCGGAGCCAAGCCTCCTGCTTGCTCCGTGGCTGGCAGCCATTTCTCTTGGGACTTATGTACCTTCTATAATTGAAACTTTGTAGCCTTAAGCAGAGACCTGGGCTGGCCAGGGTGAGTGGAAAGCTTTGCTTCCTCCATTGCCAGTGGCAACCCTAGCCTGCTCTCTCCAGCTCAGTGGCTGCTGCAGTTTCTGTTTGGATTTGTTTACCTTCTATAATTTAAACTTTGTAGCCTTGAGTGGAGGCCTAGGCCAGGAAGAGCAGGCAGAAAGATTGGCTTCTTCCATTGCCTGGGAAACCCAAGGCTCCCTCCCTCCTGCTCTCTGTAGCCGTAGCCATCTTGGTTGGGTTTATCTGCATACTTGCCCTGACTGGCTGGTGGGCGTGGCTGGTGGGTATAGTGGAGTGATGGTTAATTTGCATATTACTCTTTTATTAGGTAGGATTAGCAAATTAAGCTCAGTTTCCTCAAATTTATAAAAATATTTAATAATTTTAAAATTTTACCACAGTCTTTATTTAACATTATTATTCAGAGTTGAAAAAAGATTTAAACATGAAGCAGGAACACAAAGACAAGGTACCTGCTGGCATTACTTGTGGAAGTATATGCATTATTGGAGGTGGCTGCAGAGCTGAAAACGCTGTCTAGTTCTGCCAGAGCTGCATACTTGTCTGAAGACACACTTTGACTGGGAAGTGAAACCACAGAACTAACAGGAGCTTTACCTGCCGTCCCAAAGCCACTCCCCTGATCACCACCTGTGAACAAACAAATTATCCCCCAAATTTAAAGGTATACTTCCAATTTATCAACCAGATTTCCTATGCAACACGTGTAAATTTACAACTGATTCGGAGCTAAGGAAATAAATAGGATTCTAGAGTCATATCTAATAATGTAGAAAATATTGTGCAAGATTAGTTGCAACACATACTGCTATAGATTACCGCTTCTATAACAAAAAACTAAGACCCTGTGCCAGTAAAAGGTTTAGAGTGTGCATAAAGAAGAAATTCTTAAAAATCGCTACTTAACATCTCTGGTACATGTGTATTTCATTTAAGTAAACATATAAATTCATAAAATACAGGACCCTGATGTGAACAATCAAGTAATATCATATTCCCAGGGTTGTCCATAAAAATAAAAATAAAGTAATGAGAAGAAATATTTACTGCACTTACTATGTGCCAAGCACTGTTCTAAATGCCTTACGTGTAATAACACAACTCCATGAGTTCAATGCTATTTAGTACCCTCATTATGGAGATGAGAAAGTAGGTCCTGCAGCATGAAAGCACACCCTTGCTCTTCCCCACTGCACTATACACTTTGAGAGGCAAAATACTGGCCTTCAAGACCAAAACTCAGCATAAAAATATACTGTAAAAATCATTTAAAAAAATTACCAAGATATTAATTGAAAGTCGTTCAAAATAAATATATTATAGAAACCACCAAAAAACCTTACAGTCAGTTCTATTTTTAAGATTCTTAACCATGTATAGCCATAGAAGAGGAAAGCAGGCTTTCTAAGACAAAATTAAATTTCTGTCAATTATTTTATTTTAAAACCATAAGTAAACAAATTAGTTTGTATAATTTCAGTTTTGTAGTTGGTATTTCAGATCCTAGAAGTCTTGAACATTTAGTGTAAATGAAATTTCTATACAACGACTAAGAAAAGCATAGTATCCTTACATTTTAATAAATACAACCAAATGTAAAGAAGTTTAATACAGAAATTTGTATTTGTTTAAAGTAAGATTACCTTGTCCTGTGCTGAAAATATTGTCTAAATTAGCAAGTGCCGCATATTTGTCTGCAGCCTGAAGACCAGCTTTATTTGTTGCAACTTTATTAACAGTTGTTGCTGTTTGATGACTCTGGGAAGTACTGAAGGTTCCAAAATCAGCACTGGAGGATTTAGGGAAGTTATCAAAATGAGCAAAATTAGCATTTACTGATCCAGCACTTCCACCTGTAACAGAATAAACAGAACCCTTGAAATATATAGATTTTCCCCAATATCATGTGGTAGATAATAACTGACAAATAGCATTCAACTTTAACCATCTATACTTAACTTATAATTTGCAAATCTAGATTTCCAAAGGCCCTGTCAATAGGAAGAGTTACAAATCTCTATGTGTAATTATCTACCCTGAAGTAAAGGATATAATTCACTTGGTTTGAGACTCATTACAATATATAACATTCAACTATATACTATCACCTTTTACTAGTCCTCATGCTAATAAGATGCAAAGTATCTGACAATACAAGTTTTTGTAGCTTCTAACAAAAACTTGGTTGAAACAAATCCCAGGAATAGAAATTTAAAATGTATTAAGATGACTATTTTGATCCAGAGTTTCTTAATAGGTGATCTTTGAGATCCAGACTTATTTTATTTGAAGAGTTATTACTTAATTCCACATAATAATTTAATGCTCATATACCATGGTTTCCTCATAAAAATCATGACCTATTTTATATATTTCAAAGAAAATTATAGTATACAATATCAAACTACTTTAAATATTATAGCAATTTTTTTTTCTGTATAGAGCATAATTCACATACAGGTATATATCCTACTAAAATTTTAAAGTCTGTCCTATAATCTACAGACTTCTTTAAAGTATTACCAAAGACTAAAGCTAATATATTTCATTCTATGCTTTTGATACCAGTTCTTTATGCCTACACATTAGTTTCATTTTTAATCAAAATAATTTATATGTATAGTTTTATATTACGGTGATACAAAGTACGCAAAGATATTTTTAAAATAGAACGAATACACGACTATTTTTAAAAAAACCATACACACACTTTCCATCAATCTGTTTTTTAAACACTCTAAAACAATATGTATAGATAAAATTTATCAGGCATTAAAACTTTTTTTTTTAAATTAAAATTAAGTAATGTGAATATTTAAGTGATTGTGATCTGCTATAAGTAGCTGGTAAACAAACTACATTCTAAAGCTTTCAAAGTTCATTGAAAGTGAAGAATCTTATTTCAAATTAAAATGGGAATTTTTAAATTAACTAACTCTCTTATTGTATATTATTGTGTTCTCAAGTGAAGGGAAAGTGAGAATTTATGAAGATTATTAAAAGACGATTAACATTCTATAATTGAAAAATACATGAAATACAGCATTAAACATACAAATTAGTAAAAGATGCCTACTTGACAAAGAGAACTTACTGTTGGTAGCCTGGAGAGGAAAAGCAGAAGTAAATTCACCAAAACTGCAGCTAGATGAAAGCATTCTAAATGCTGGATAGCCAGAAATTATGTAAATGATGAAAGTTAAAAGGGGAGAGGGGGAGGGAGAAAATTGAAAGAAAAAGCTTTAAGACAATACATAGAGTTCAAGTAAAGAAAAGTAACCAGCCAAAGATCTAAACATGGATTCAATGAATTTCAGAAAACAATATAGTTTATGGAAGAGTATTCAATGTTTAAAGATCAATTCCTGCACAGAAAATGATTTCCCAGTTTGATTAAACCAATCCAATAACCTACTCTTGACTAATAACATTTATTTTTCAAGTTTGTTGCCTAAAAATTACTTCTACTTTTAGTTCTATGGAAGCAATAAATTACCTTCCTTTACTTAGAGCCTGAATCATAATATGTTTTTTGAACCTAAAAAACTTTAGTACTTTAATCCTTCCTTAGATAAGAAGTTTAAGATTCATGTGCAGGAAAAGGAGAATTCTGTGAATTGGACAACATACTAAAGAGTTTAGAAAAATAAATGAACACAGAACAAAATAAAGATTTCAGGTTTCCCCAGAGCTTTGCTAAATATAAGTATTGTAAATTCAGAGAATTATAGAATTTAAGTTTAGAGTAATTTTCAAAACTACATCTAGAGAGTTTTACTATAGTTTTTTAAAGTAAACATTTAGGCATAATGCTGGAGAAGCTCTACCTGTAGTTTGGGGCTGAAAAGGAGAGTGACTTGCTGTGGGGAAACCTCCAAAATTACTCGAACCACTAGACTGTCCAAATGCATCAAAGTTTGCAAAATCTGCATTTGCAGAATTCTGAGCTGTAAATGGTAAGGAACAATACATGTTAATGAATATGAAAACTATAAATAAAAAACATGACAAAAGAATTTGAGAATTTTATGAAACATTTCTACATCTTAGAGCTCACTTCAAAGACATTTAGAGATCAGATTTTAAATCCTACCAGTGTTTACTTAGCCTAATTTCACACAATTTATAAAAGGTTATCCAGAAATTTCCAAAATCACTTTGTACAATGATAAATATGTATGCAATACACACTGAGTGACCTCAGGAACAGTATTATAAATGTAACCCTATTAAAGAAAATTTCGAATTAAGAGCACTAAACACATGGTTACAATTAAGCAAGACAGAAATTTAGGATATAGGATACATTCTGGAAAATTCATATTTAAAATGGCAATGAGTGATTCACTGACTGGATGAAATCGGAAACATTGATATAAAGATTAATATCCTTTTTGATTCTTTTTAAGTTCACAACTTTGCATATCATGGCATATAAAAATAAACTTGAATATATAACAAGACATGATTGTCAAACAAAAATATTCACATTCTATTAGAAGCTTGCCACTTTCAAACACATTAAAATGTAAGAAACTAGGAAAAATAGTAAAAATTATAACATAAATGCACTCATGTTCAGTGAAAAAGACCCACTGGTATTTCCAACTGGCCATTAACCTAAGAGCAAAATTCTAGGCTTCTCTAAATTATGCAATTATATCCTCTAAAAAAATCTCAAGTCAGATTTTTTTTAAAGGACAAAACAGATGCTAGGTTAAGATTTTTATAAAGGGTATGATGAGAATAAGAAGTGGTTGATATGAGGGAAAAAATGTTAAGTGACAAGAATGAAAATAATGTCCAATAAGCAGACATCAACAAATCCTTTGCAGGCATTTCTACTTCTACGAAGTTTTTGTAAAGCAATAATCTTGTAAATATGTATGATTGTTTGTAATAGCTAAACATGTTTTTTTATGATGAAAAAATTAGAAACTCAAATAGCCAGCAAAGAGGGAAACACTGAAATACATTATGGAATATCATACGATGGATAATACAGCCATTTAAAAAATCATCCTATGCCGAAACCGGTTTGGCTCAATGGATAGAGCGTCGGCTTGGGGACTGAAGGGACCCGGGTTCGATTCCAGTCGAGGGCATGTACCTTGGTTGCGGGCATATCCCCAGTGGGGGGTGTGCAAGAGGCAGCTGATCGATGACTCTCTCTCATCGATGTTTCTAGCTCTCTATCTCTCTCCCTTCCTCTCTGTACAAAAGCAATAAAATATATTTAAAAATAAAATAAAATAAAAAATCATCCTATGTAATAAAAGAGTAATATGCAAACTGACCTTGCCTCTACTACAACCTCAAGGCATGCCCACCAACCAATCAGAGTGAGTATGCAAATTAACCCAAGATGGCCACAGAACAAGCAGGAAGCTTGGGTTTCCCCAGTGATGGAGGAAGCTAAGCTTCCAGTACACCCTGGCCAGCCCAGGCCTCCACTGAAGGCTACAAAGTTTCAATTATAGAAGATAAATAAATCCCAGATACCAGGGCCTTCACTTGGGTTGCTAGGGGGGCGTGGCCAGCCTGCAAACCACCACAGGCCCCTTGCCCAGGCCTCCCCACTCCCCAAGGGAACCCCAGCCATGATCCAGGACACCCTTCAGGGCAGACCAGCTGGCCTCCACCAGTGCACCAGGCCTCTATCGTATCTAATAAAAGAGTAATATGCAGATTGACCATCACTCCAACACAAAATATGGCTGCCCCCATGTGGGCACAAGATGGCCAGCAGGGGAGGGCAGTTAGGAGGGACCAGGCCTGCAAGGGAGGGCAGTTGGGGGGGGGGGGGGAGAGAAGAAACCCAGGTCTGCAGGATAGGGCAGTTAGAGATGACCAGGCCTGCAGGCATGACAGTTAGGGGCAAACAGGCTGGCAGGAAAGCAGTTAGGGGGTGATCAGGCTGGTGGGCAGAAACGATTAGGGGCAATCAGGAAGGCAGGCTGGAGCAATTGGGAGCCAGCAATCCTGGATTGTGAGAGGGATGTCCGGCTGCCCATTTAGTCCCAATCCTTGAGGGGTCCCAGATTGGAAAGGGTGCAGGCTGCGCTGAGGGACACACCCCCATGCATAAATTTTGTGCACTGGGCCTCTAGTGTAAAATAATATTCAATCTTATACAAAAATGTTTATGACAGAGTAAATACGGCTAATAAATTCCAGATAATTTTCATCTACTTTTTAAAATATGGTATTATATACATAAAAAATCTGTATTTTAACTCAAAATAAGATTTCAAATAGTTACATATTTCCTTTTTTGTTTGCCTGAATTTACCAAGCTTTTGTAATGAATATGTATTATACTTATAAACAAAATAAAGGATACTAAACAACACAATTTTCCATTAACAGAGCTCAACATATGATAGGAAGAAAATCAGGAAAACTTACAGCAGTTTATGTAATTACTTTTCTGTATGTATATGAAAGGGTATGACAGTATTGGAGGAAATGTACCTAAAATAGACCCCTTTTACTAGGTACCTGTGCCACTTCCCTTCTTGGGTACTCACTCGCACCTAACACTGCTGAAATGTGGGATGCTATTCCACATCACTGGTCACACTTTGTTCTTGAGAATCTTTTTAAAACACATTTTGTTCTAGCTCTCAAACAGTATATACAGAAATACAGAAATTAAAAGGCTGCTTATTGCTTAACAATATAAAGTTCTATATTTGCAGGATGTCCCAATATTTTGTCATTACTTTTACTTAAAATTAAATTACTTTATAGGCTAAAATTTTACATTTCCCAAAGTAAATATAATGGAAAAAATACTAACAAATAAAATTTAAAATTAACTTCTTGGAAAATATTTTGGAATATCTATACAGTTTAAGTAACAAATATATTGTACAAGTTTAAACAAAGTTACCATTTAGTATTGCTAAGAACAGTAAGCAAGTACAATTTAGTTTAAAGGGAGTCAGATAAAAATCAGAGAATTCCATCCTAACATAAGTTACTATAAAGTCTTAGACAAGACCCTCAATTGTTCTGGCTCTACCAGTTTTCTCATTAGCAAAATGAGAGGATTCACTAGATGGTCACCACTTACAAATCCAGCATTATGATTCTATAATTTATGAGACAATAGAAATTCTTAGAGAGTTCTGAAATACTGGGGGGGGGGGAAATCCAACTAAAAGGGCAAAATATATAATATACATATAGATAATGCAAATATAAACCAAATGAATAGAGAACATGGTATAGAAAATTCTCAGATTTAGAATGGCTATATTCCAAAAGGTAAACTTCTTAGTTTTTTAAATAGTTTAATTATACATTTGCAAACAAATGAAACAAATCTGTCCCTTGTAGAAATAAGAATTAGGTCCCTAAGATAGTTTATCCTTTATAACCTCAAACATGTACGAATATATGGTATATACTATGTATTCTATGCTTATATTTAGCACTTAAAATGGGGGAAACAGTCACTTGACTTTTCAAATACTGTTAGGAAAAAAATCAGTTCAATACAATCCATTTATTATAATTAAGTCTAGTCTACTGCATTCACACTTAACATTTTCTCAGTGTTTTCCAACCAGAGCACTAAACACATTAATTCTTTGTGAAATTTCTATCTGTTTTTATTTGTAGACCCTGTATCTATTCAGTCTTCAGCAACTGGTTATAATGACTTAAAATTTCTAAGTACTATGGAATAAAACTTTGGTAAACACGACTTTGGTAATTAGGCTTTACTAAATTTAGTAATATAAAAATTACTATCTGGAACGTTAAGCAATCTTCAAACAAAAAAAGAATGTGACAAAGATATGTTTTAAATTTTATTTCAAAAAATCTAAATGAGTCGACTAAGTTAAAAACTTAGGTAACAAATTAATGACTCTGAATCTTGCTGAGGGCTGTGTTTCTTTTCAACAAGAAACAGGTACTCATGAGAAAGGATGAGATGGAATTGAACAGCCCTCATCATATACAGCTGATAGATACATTTGGTTTCACCTATGAAAAAATTTAAATTTTTTTCCATCAATTTCCAATATTTCAAAAGAAAGTGTTTTATTTTAAATATGATTTTTTTTTTTTTTTTTTAAGAAAATTAACATATTAGTAATCCTGAACCTGTATTTCCGTGTGGCAACAGAAGATTAGAACATCCCCCTTTATGAAGAAGAGCACATGGTTTCTTACACACCGTACTGTATAATTCATTTGTGTTTAACTGAGTAGCAAGGCAACTGAGTTTGACACCTCTGGTATAAGCTGTGACAAAATTTAATTACAGTTTATAGTTCATAGGTTTTATGATATGTTTATTTAATTAAAAAAACTATCATAAGTAAATTGTTTCTAACTGCATGCATATTTGTGGAAGATAAAAAATTTTAAAAAGTACTTTAGCTGATAAAGGAATGATATATTTAGAATATCACAATTTTGCATAACTTGATCCCAGTAATGGGCATCAAGAGCTAGTATTACTAAACCAGGCAATCAACATTATGTGCCTCTTAAACACTAAGTAGCAGGTTTGCCCCCTCCACCACCACTGTGCTCTAAAAAAGAACGAGGCCCTAGCTTGTTTGGCTCAGTAGATAAGAGCATTGGCCTGCGAACCGAAGGGTCCCAGGTTTGATTCGGGTTAAGGGCACATGCCTGGAAGCAGCCTCCATAGTCAGTAGTGAGTGTGCAGGAGGAGCTGATCAATAATTCTCTCTCATCATTGGTGTTTCTAGCTCTTCTTCTCCCTTCCTCGCTGAAACCAATAAAAATATATTTTATAAAAAAGAAACAGTAACAGATCAAGTATCTATCAATTTACAGAAAATACAGAAGACAGAAACCTGATAAAGGACCCCACAGTGGTACAATCAACAAATTCAGACTGCCTAAAACTCAACAGGACAAATAAACTAATTTCTTAAATAAATAAACTACAAAGAAAAAAGGGATAGAGGAAGAACCTATAGGCTAAGAGACATATCTCACAATTGCAATGTGCAGACCTTACTTGAAACCTGATCTAAAAAAACTGTGTATGTGTGATTGAACTGGAGTGGAAATTTGAATACTAATGAATTATTATTATTACTAGTGGCCAGGTGCACGAATTTGTGCACATTGAAAGGAAATTAATTTTAAAAAGTATTTTAATATCACTATTTGCCCTTCTCTATAATGTAAGTCTCAATCAAATTCATGATCACCAATGTCAGGTGGAAACACACAAGGTGTTGGTGTCAGTGAGAGTTTTACATGTATCGTGCATGAGCAAGTCAACTTAGCCTTTATAAATATAGAACAAACTTGCTTAATTAGAACTGCTTTCTGATTCAGCTAAACTTTTTCCAGCCCAGTGAAGCATCCCATCTTCCCTTTCAGTTAATTGACAGCAACACAACAATAAATATCAACATGAAGCACATTATTGTAGATCATGTAGGGAGAACAAAGGGTAAAATATTTAACTACAGCAGTGTTTGGCGCAATGAGAAAACCCTGAAGTCGTTTTCAAAGTCCACCATTTCTTCTTTTCTGTAGGGTCAAGTTTCTAAGCTTTCTAAATCTCCATTTTCCAGCTAATAAAAAGAAAACAGGATTCCACTAAGTCTCTTACCTACCCACTCCAGGACTTCTGTGAGGATCAAATGAAATAAGGCAAGGGAAAACATTTGGTTACAGTGAAAAATGTTTCCACCTGACTATAAAGCAAGTCGTGTTCCTGGGCTAAAGAAACTCCAAGGAAGCTAGTCGCTAGGGAGAGGAAGCCAGGCATTGCTACTTGGGGTGGCCAGAGGGGATCAGGCCAAAACCTGCAGTCCAATGCCACCTGCTGCTCCCGCTCATCGCAGCCCCACAACTGCCACAGGCTTGCACCCAGTCAGTCCTGATCAGGAGAGGCTTGCGATCAGGAGAGGCTTGAACCGCTGCAGCTGCATTCACCAGCTGTGAGCCCTGTGTCTGGCGCCCATCCTAAGGGGGTGGTGGTGTGCGGGGCTGGGATGCGATCGGCCCTCCAGTGGGCGGTGGGATGCCCTGGCCAGCCTGGGATCCGGATGTGTCCAACTGACATTCACACTGGTTGTTGGGAGCCACCTGGCAGTCGCTTTTATATCATTTCTTCCTGGCAGAGCATCTAGGAAAGGGAAGTGGCCACAGTGCCCAAGACCAATTTCTAGGAGGCTGATGGTGCTGTCAGGATCCTGTCAGGATCATGCTGGTGGCGCAGGTCTGCCGGTGCTGGGCCCTTCTCCAGAGATTAGAACTGCAGAACTACTGAGGGAGTGAGCGGCTGCCGCCAGGATGGGTTGGTCAGCTGAGTGGAGCTCCCACTGTGGGAGCACACTAACATCAGGTGGCAGCTCCTGTGTTGAGTGTCTGTCCCTGGTGGACAGTGCATGTCATAGCAACCAGTCGTTCAGTTGATTAGGCTTTTATATATATATAGATTATTATTGTTATTATTATTTAGGGATTGGTAATACTACCAGGATTATGTTTGACAAAGGACATCTTATTTTACAGATACATATAAAATAGGTATTTAAGAATAAATTAATGTCTAATTTGCTTCAAAGTAACTTGAGAAGAAATGACTAGAATGAGAAATAAAATCAGATTAGCCATAAGTGATGAGTACATGAAGGTTATATTATCTGATCATTTCTGAATATCTGAAATTCTCCCTACCAAAGGGTTAAAAATATTTAATAGTCTTTCCTTATTTCTTTTAGAAAGAGGTCAGGTCAATACCTGGCATTAACTATAGTCTCTTTTGTGATTAAAAAGTACCAGGGAAGGCTACATGATTTATACACCTCAACAGGTATGAGTGATCAGATATTCTCAACAGAATATGTTTCCTAGTATTTAAGTTAAAAACAAACAAACAAACAAAAAGGTTATTGCACTAGCCAGAGTGGCTTTGGCTAAGTGGTTAGAGTGCCATCAGCCCAAACACCGAGGGGCTGCGGATTTTATTCCTGGTCAAGGGCACATACCTGGTTGCAGGTTCCATCCCCAGACCTTGTTGGGGCGCATGCAGGAGGCAACCAATAGATGTGTTTCTTTCACATCAATGTATTGCTCTCCCCTCTCCCTCCCTCCCTTCCATTCACCCTAAATAAATAAATAAATAAATAAATAAATAAATAAATAAAAATCCTCGGGTGAAGATTAATAAAACAAACAAAAAAGGTTGTTTCTGGTGTTTTATACACATCTCTAATAAAAGTTCTTTGGGAAAAAACACTTACCTGCATGACTGTTGAAATGTGCAAAGTTAGCAAAATTGGCTGTAGCTGATGACTGAGAAGCTGGAGCAGCAAATATGTCTGAGCCAAGATCACTTAAAAGGTCAAACTTCTTTTCCTGCTGCTGTCCTTGAGAGCGACCTACAACAGGGGACTACAAACCACATATTGGCTATAAAGTTTCCAGTCAGATCTGCTAAATTTTGACCACACTATTCCCAACTAATCAAGCTTAAAACACCGTTTAAAAATTACAGAGTCTTCTATTTTGGTTTTGGTACTTTGATATTTTTAAAAAAGCACCAGTTTTCACTATCTCTTCCTAAATCATCTCTCAATTCTAATTATAGAGTCAAAAGCAAAGAAACAATTACAATAGTGATCACAAGAAAGGATGGACTTACTGCTAAGCCAGCAATAAGACTTTCACAGAATACATCATTTATACATAAGAGTTATGAAGTACTAGCTTAACCCCTCTCTTCATTTTTCACTTAAACTTTCTGTAAAACAGAGCAATTTATCCAAATGCCCTAGTATGCATTATTAATATAGTGGGATTTAATTCAAATAGTACCATGCCTCAGAATCATTCTTGTGTAGGGTAGACGCTGTAATGTCACACAGTAACAGATTTGTCACAGCTCAGTCAACTGTAATGAAGTACAGAAGTACAAACTTTAGGTACCACTTATCAAAAACTTTCAGTCTATTCAGTTGTCTAGAATAAGATATATACTGCAATGCAAAGACACCAGTGCTTTACAAATTGGGCATGGGGGGGATTACACTCCTTGAGAAATCCTTTCCTAAAAAAGTACATCACAGAGGCTATATTGTTCTGACTCTGATGATTATCACAGATTCATGTTTTATAATGTATACTACATAACAGATAGCTATAGCAATATTCCTCTAGACTTTTACAAAGCTGTGGAGAATTCAAAGAAACTCATATTAGCAACAGCAAAGGAGCAAATAAATACACATTCCAATCACTTAACCATCAATGCTTAATGTATTATAAACCACCGGCACATAATGCTACTGGCATACAAGATAATACTATTATTTTTTTTAAAGTCTCAAATTCTGGCATTCAGCCCTCAAGTAGGAGCCTCTACAAAGACTTACTGACTACTCACCTGACTAGGTGTGCCCTTATTTAGGTGCAGGGATGGTGCTGAATCTCCTAAAAGAGATTTCAGTGGTTTGACTTCAGGTGTGCTGCTTGTACTACTGGCGGAGGAGCCTGAAATAGATGCATGAACAGATGCCACTACTTTGGCTTGTTCTGGTGGAACATACCTAAAACACATGAAAAGTTAAACAGGTAGTTAATTAAGAAAAATATAGGAAATGTCATACTCAAAAATGATAAGCAAAATTCTAATTTTGCATGAATGTTGATATTAATCTTATTTCAAATCCCTCTGGGACCCTGTCTTGGTAGCTCTGATAGTTAGAGCATCATCCCATCACGGAACACCAAGCTTGTGAGTTCAGTCTCCACCCAAGGCACATTTAAGAATCAACCAATGAATGTATAAATAAATGGAACAAAAATTGATGTTTCTCTTTCTCTCTCACTCTTCCTTTCTACTTCCCTCCCTAAAATCCAATAAATAATTTTTTTTGAAAATCCTCTTATAATTTACTTAATTTTTCTAAGATAAAGTAAGTTAACTGCTTTTTTTATAAGACAGCAGACCAATCATGATAAATAGTTATTATAATTTAATTTTTTAAAACTAAAGTATTTTAAGATCATTAGTAACATTTGGAAACAGAACGGAAAACATTACAGTTAAGTCTAAAATATAAAGGCTTATTACAAATCTATAAGAATAAGGTCAACAGCCCAATTTTTAAATGGGCAGAAGCAACGCACAAAGGAAGACATAGAAATAAAAACAATTTTAACCTAATTCATTAGCATTTGATGTGAGTGTAATGGTTACAAATTTTGTTGATATCTATTAAAATGTGTTACTAGGTATGCTCTGTGCCCCAGAAATGCCTCTGCAGACCTCATCCTTAGGAATTAACTGAATGACTGTACACAGATACATGTACATGTATGTTACCACAGCACTCTTAAATCTGTTTAATGTAATGATACACAGCTATTCTTTTGACACAGAAAGATGTCCAGGTTACTTTTCTGTCTTTCAGGTTTGATCCCAGTTGTGTAAATATAGATTGACGGGAGGAAGGGAGTAAAGAAAGAAAAGAAAGGCAGTAAAAATATAATGCCCAAATATCGGCAATGCTGATCTCTAGGGTTAGGAATACGTGAGAGTTTTTTCATTCCTGTATATCTGGGTTTTCTTCTTCCTTCACAACCTTCTTTTCAGGTAGGTGGAGAAAGCTGAAAAAAAACGGTAAAGAGCACATATCTATTCCAGAGACAGTTCAAATCCCAGCTCCACTTCTCAATAGCTGTGAAACCTAAGGCAAACTACTTCAACTTTTGGTGCGCCTAGGATTTCTCATCTATAAAGTGAAGATACGGTTGCTGTGAAGCAAAAACAAATGAACATTTGTAAAGTACTTAGAACAGTTCCTGGTACCAGTGCTAGCTACATTAAGTGTTAGCTACTATCAAATTGTACACTAATCACAAAAAATAAAACTGCTTTGCTTTTTCCAATAAATGGGAGATGATGGAATATGACAATGAATAGAGGAAGTTATGCTTTCATATAATTTGGCAAACCACTGATACCAACTTTTGAGTACAGCCACATCTTATCAAAGGATAAAACCAAATACTAGCACTTAGTTCAAAAGACTAAAAGAAATCAGCTAAACGTATAATATAGGAAAAGTTTGAAAATTGGTCAAAAGAACTATTTAAAATACCTTTAGGTGACAATAGTCTCATTGTTTTAAGAATAGTTGCTCAAAGTAGGGATTTTTAGGAAGTCTGCATTTGGAAAGTTCTTATGCCTTATTAAAAACCAACTGCACTGCTCTCTAGTTACATGTCACAAGTGTGCAGGAGCATGGCTTTAAAATACACAGCCCCTGGCCCTCCTGAATGGTCACTCCCCCTTCCTACCCAGCAATTAAAATTCTCACTGTTAATCTTGTTACTACTATCCAGTTTCTTAGGGCAGAAAAAAAAAAATAACACAAATTATAATTACTTGAGGTTTACAGTTATTTGGATTATGTTTTGAATAGGTAAATTTCATTATTGTTTACTATTATAAGTCTGGGGAAATATGTGGTTTTATTTCTATTGACTCTTATTCACACAAAATTATCTTGCTAATTGAAGGTAAACTATCTCAAATTCCAGCTAAGTCCTATTCAAACTAATATTCTGAATTGGTAAAACTGCTGAGAAAATAAAAAATTAGGCTAGGGCTATATAAGAAGTATACGTTATGGAGTGGAAGGTCTCTAGGAAATTAACTAAAGTGGTAAAAATAGAATTACCGTATTTTTCGGACCATAAGATGCACTTTTTCCCCCCCAAAGTCCCTGCGTTTATGGTCCAAATATAGCCTACACATATACTTTTAAAAAAAAGTTTTTTTACTTGCCCGGCTCTGTGTGGTCTCTGTGTGCTTGCCCGGCTCTAAAATGGTTCTAAATGCTGCTGTTTACTTTACAGGGTTGATTACATGTGTTTATGACTGTGATGTTGGGTTTTAATGCACATAAAATATTTTAGGACACTATTTGTTTCAGAATCTTTTTTTCTTCATTTCCCTTCTCTAAAAACTGGTGTGTCTTATGGTCCGGTGCGTCTTATGGTCCGAAAAATACGGTACATATATCATTTTAAAATAATCATTTGACACCTTGCTTTCACTGTCACCCCATCTTCTAAAATTTTCCTCAACTAATTTTTACTGGTGTATTTTATCTACATTCACACCTAATGGTATCTAGGCTGCTTAATACAGCCCAAGCTAATCTTGCCTTGCAAAATGCAGTCTCCTAAAAAGAACAGTAAAAATACAAAGTTCACAGAGCATTAAAATCAGAGCTTCTTCTTTCTAATGTGCTCAATGAATACAGGTAGAGACACTTAAAAACCACAGCAAGTATTCCCTCGGGACCAAAACAGGCTCTTGAACATATCCTTCTCTGGGTCCAAATACAGCTCCTCAGAAAACAAGAAGACATTTATCTCTTCATTATCTATTTCATTTGTTACTCTCTCCTTCATCTTCTTAGCCACACCCATAAGGAAAAATATACACCTACTGAATATTGATAAAGAAACTAGTAATTCATCATTAATGAGTCTTAATAAATTGACTTTAGTTGTGCTCATATACCTAAAAATTAAAAGCCCAAAGTAAACTCTAGCTCTACTCTGTTCTGCTTTAAGGGGCTCACTAGCCACAAGTCCAACTTATTTTATTTAATTTTAAAATTTACTATTTGATAGTGTGAGGGGAGTACACAGGCTCCCTTCTTAACCAGGTAGTAAAATAATTTCTTGGATGGGAAGTGAGGGATATTTTGAGCAAAGACTTACTGCAAGCTGAGTTAAGTGGATAGAGATTGTGAGTGGACACATGAAAGCTTTAGCATAGTGCTTGGTATATAGAAGAATCTAAATAAATACTTGCTAAATGAATAAAGATTTTAAGAAAGGAGGCTTTATAAGATTAAAAGTATCTTAGGAAGCGAATGGGGCTAAAGAAGGATCAAAGGAAGTATCCCTAACTTTCAAAAAAGGGTAGGAGGCCTGGTAATTACAAGGAACAGGCTGCTGAGTTACAATAAAGTAGAAGTAAAGGTTTTTGGAAACTAAATCCAATAAAAAGCCAAAATATAATGGGTATCTATCTATCTACCTACCTATTCCTCTATTTCCTATCTACCTAACCTGCCTATTTCCTTCCTATCTCCCTCCATTCTTTCCTTTCTTATGTCAGACTAATCTTACCCATAATTAATGTAATTTGGGAAACCTTTGCTCTAAATACAAACTATTCACTCACCATCTTTTCTTTTCATATTTTTCTTGTAGGAACTCTTTCACTTTTTGTGGATCCCTGAAGTCTGGAATTGCTGAAGATCTATCATCAAATAATCCTAGCCAAATCTGTTTACAGACCTTTGGAAAGAATTAAAAAAAAAAAAAGTGTTATAAATCAACATCTTCACTTAATGAAATATAAAGGAAAAATTATGACCTCTCAAAAAACTAACCTACTTAATTGTAATAATACTGCTTTCAACGAGAATATTACAATGAGAAATGAAGAGGCAACAAATGAACTAAATTTATTGTTACAGTATACAGTAAAATCTTAGGAACAGCATCGTAAAGAACAGCACTTCATAGGGAAACAAATAGTGAAATGGGATTGGAGAGGATCTGGAATTTTTTTGTTGTTGGAATGATCAAGACTATAAGCTCTTAGCAAACCATGTACCCTTTATAACCTCAGTTACTTCACTCAATAAAACAGAATAAACTAGACCTGTAGCAATTTCACAAATCCTTGATAGGTTCAAAAATCAACCAAAAAGAACAAACAAAACTTACTATAATCATAAACAATTTGCTAGTAAAGAATAATAACAAAAGAAATATAAGGCAGATACAAGTCTAAACTGTATAGTTGCCTCCTATGCTTTTTTTCCTCCTCATGGCTAAAAAATGAGAACCTGGGCTATTTAACTTTCTAGACAAATCAAAGAAATGAAATGATGAAGAACTCAAATAGGACGCAAGAGCATAAAGAAAACAATGAAGAAAATTTGGCAAAGTAGTCTTCATCAAAATTAAGTTGCTCTTCAAAAAACTAATACCGGTATATGAAAAGGCAGGCTACCAACTCATAAAAAGTATTTGCAAAACATGTAAGAACTTGAAAAAACTTGAATGCAGAAAATACAAAAATTTTCTTAAAACTCAATTATAATAAAGACAAAAAATTGTTTAGAAGAAAATTAGATAACCACTTTACAAAATGCAGCCCAACACCATTAGTCATATGGAAAATGCAAATTAAACAACACTGAGATTCCACTACATACCTTGTTTCCCCGAAAATAAGACAGTGTCTTATATTAATTTTTGCCCCAAAGATACGCTAGGTCTTATTTTCAGGGGATGTCTTATTTTTCCATGAAGAAGAATACAATACACATTTATTGTTAAATGAAAATAAAGGAAATTTATTACCTGTATACGGTACGGTAGTACGGTAGTTGTCAACACAAACCAGACAAACCGTGAATCCTACAGTATCAAGAATTTACTCATTTATTCAATGACAATCATGTCATCATCTTCTGGAACATCATCATAACAATCCAATTCCTGAATTTCCTGGTGAATTTCTTGTGACTCATTTCTTTCAGAATCAGTGGACCAAATCTCTCATGTTTAGCCTAGGGGGGGGTCTTATTTTCAGGGGGGGATGCCTTATATTTCACTCAGAAGGAAACCTGTAAGTAGGTGTTATTTTCGGAGGATGTCTTATTTTTGGAGAAACACGGTATATACTACTAGAATGGCTAAAAATAAAAAGATCGACCGTATTTTGTATTAGTGAGAATGTGGAACAGTAGGAACTCTCAAGAATGTAAAACGGTACAACCACTTTGAGAAAGTTGGCAATCTCTTAAAAGTTAAACATACACCTACCATATGGCCCTGCAATCCCATTTCTAAGTATCTATTCAAGAAAAATAAAAGCACATGTCCACACTGAGATCTGTACACAAATGTCCACAGCAACATTGTTGATAATACCTCTAAACTGTTAAGAAAAACAACCCAAATGTCCATCGACAGGTAAATAGATAAATTTTGGAATATCAAATAGGAGACTTATCAGCAGTAAAAAGAACTATTGATACAAACAACTACATAAATAAACCTCAAGAAAATTATATTGATTGACAGAAGGTAGACATCCATCCCCAAAAGTATATACTGTATATTCATTTAAATTTTTAGAAAATGTAACTCATCTATGGTGATGGAACTGCAGATCAAATGGATACATTACAAAGGGACACAAAAAAACCCTTGGGAATGATAAAAATGTGTGCTATCTTATCATTGTAGTCATGGACGGCATCACATATGTCAAAACTCTTCAAATTAGACACTGGAAATAAGTACAAGTTCTTGTAATTAATTATTCCTCAATAAAGCTATAAAAACAAGTCCACAAGTTTCCAAAATTGCATTATTTTGAAGAATAACCAATTTTAATATTGCAAAAATAATACAGTATCTAGCTTCAAAAGTTTGACAGAAATTTGAGAAATCAGAGAAGGAAATGCAGCATCTTTCTAAATCTTACCTGCTCACTGAGGTGGGTAAGGGAGGACAGGAAAAAAGACTCACCCCTTTTCTTATCAAATAGCAACCATGTTTCAAAACATTTCTTGTGGCTCCTTCAATACAAATACTACTATAACCTCATTAAGACAGAAAAGTTGACACGTCACTGTGAGGCCTGGGCTAAGATGAAATCTCATTATAAAAACATTTAAGAGGCAAAGACAGAAAAGTGCAGACACCCAGGAATGGTAATACAACTTACTGCCAGAAATGCCATAAACCCTGTGGTGACCCAGCTTCTGCAATAGTATTTAGCTACTTAAAAGGAACCACAAGAGATTCTCCTTAGCCAGAAAACTGACTAATAATCCTTCCAAAATGTAATTTTAAAAGTTTCTGTGACTTTATAGTTATATTCAAAATGGGAAAAGTGGAAGTTTCTAATTCTTCTATTTAAAAAAAAAAAATTTCCATTGATTTTTAGAGAGAGAAGAAGGGAGAAACAGATGAAAGAGAAACATTATTGATTAGCACCTCCTCCACACCCCCTTTTGGGGATCAAGCCTGAAACCTAGGCATGTGCTGTGACCAGGAATCAAGCCAGTGACCTCTTGATTAATGGGTCGACATTCAACCACTGAGCCACCCTAGCCAGGCTAATTTTTCTATTTTAAAAATTCCCAAACAAGAGATATGGTAGTCATTTGCCCAAATTATTAACTGTAACTGACAGAATTAGTTCAGGATACCAAATACCATAAACATTTAGACTTTACATTCCAAAACCCCTGTTAACTACCATATATAAAAAACAATCCTATATAATAAAAGCCTAATATGCTAAGTGTCCAGTCGTCCGTTCAACCAATCAAAGCATAATATGCTAATGATATGCTAAAGCTGCTCAACCGCTATGCATACACTGATGACCAGGGGGCAGACGCTCCAACTAGTAGGTTAGCTTGCTACTGGGGTCTGGCCAATTGGGACTGAGTGAGATGGACCGGACATGCCCTGGAGCCCTCCTGCAGTCCCTCCCCAGCTGACCAACCACCTGTGTCCCTCCCAGGCCCTGATTGTGCATTGGTGGAATCTCTCGCCTGGCCTGTACCCTCTTGCAATCCGGGACCACGAGGGGGGTGTCAGAGAGCTGGTTTTAGCCCGATCCCACAGGCCAGGCTGAGGGACCCAACTGGTGTACGAATTCATGCACTGAGCCTCTAGTTAACCCTAATAAAAGGAAAATATGCAAACTGACCGTACCTCCACTATGCCCACAAGTCACACCCACCAGCCAACCAGAAATGAGTATGCAAATTAAATCAACAAAGATGGTGGTGGCCACGGAGCTGGAGTGAGCAGGAGGCTTGAATTGTCCCCAGCGATGGGGAAAGCCAAACTTCCTGCCTGCCCTGGCCAGCACTGGCCTCCACTCAAGGCTACAAAGTTTAAATTATAGAAGATAAACCCCAGATACCTGCTTCTAGCCGGCCCTAGCCTCAGCTCATGGAGGTGCTGGGGGGGGGGGGGGGGGGGGGGAGAGACAAAAAAGGAGGGGCTGGGAGCTTCGGTACCTGGGAGCTGTGGCCAGCCTGCAAACAGCCATCAGCCCCTTACCCAGCCTGGCCAGGCACCCCAGCAGGGACCTCCACCCTGAAGGGGGTGTGGCCAGCCTGAAAACAGCCCTCAGCCCCTCAACCAGGCTGTCCAGGCACCTAGCAGGACCCCCACCCTGATCCGGGACACCCTTCAGGGCAAACCAGCTGGCCCCTACCCGTGGTACCAGACCTCTATCTATACTAATAAAAGGGTAATATGCTAATTAGACTGGGAGACCTTCCAGGAGACCTTCTGGATTTTCTTCTGGACTGAGCCATGGTGGCAGGGCCGAGGTAGAAGTGGTTAGAGGCCAAGTGGGGAGGGAGGGCAGTTGTGGGTGATCAGGCCAGGATGGGAAGGCAGTTATGGATGATTAGGCTGGTGGGGGGACGGGGTTGTTGGGGGTGAGCAGGCCAGCAGGGGAGGCAGTTGGGAATGAGCAACTGGCAAGGGGGGCAGTTAGGGGTGATCAGGCTAGCAGGGGGTGAATTTGGGGGCAAGCAGGCCGGTGGTGGGGTCAGTTGGGGGCGAGCAGGCTGGCAGGCAGAGTTGTTAGTGGCAATCAGGCAGGCAGGCGAGTGGCTAGAAGCCGGCAGTCCTGAATTGCAAGAGGGATGTCCAACTGCCGGTTTAGGCCTAATCCCTGTAAACCGGCAATAGGACATCTTCCAAGGGATCCCAGATTGGAGAGGGTGCAGGCCGGGCTGAGGAACATCCCCTGCACCCATGCACAAATTTCATGCACTGGGCCACTAGTGAATAATAAGTAACATACAAACACATTTTAAAAAGATGGATTGAACAGGAAAAAGGGGGATAAAAAAGGGAGGGGAATGGGACATATCTATAATACTATTAACAATAACAAAATATATTTTTAAAAAAGATGGATTGAAGACAGATGATAAAGTTACTGTCTTGGCATTCATCATGCGAATACAAAGCAAAATGGAGTGCTTGATGGTAAACTTATAGATATTTGACATGAGCAGCCAGTAGGATTTGCTCAAAATTCTTTACTTACTGCTGACAGTTCTGTTCCTTCTCTTGGATAGGCCAAACTGTTAGGAAAAATCATTCAAACTAACTGCTTGGGTCCACTACAAATCAATGCTGTGTCACTAAAAGAGCTTCTTCACATTCTTAGCTCTTATTTCTAGCTACATTACCCCCCAAAGGCTATTTTCTAGGTTGCTCAAAATCCTAAACCC